CAAATTTATGGGGCTACGTCATTTTGTGGCCTTCTCGATAGATTGACTGGTCTTTATTCTGCTGATCTGCTATATAAATTCATGACGATAGATTCAATTCAATTCTTTATTCAGTAAATATAAGCATTACATCACCAAATCGCTTATATAATCTATACTAATTTTACTAAAAAAAACACATACTACTGTAATTATAAAACTCAGACTAGCAAAAAGAAAACCACTTTGCATCAACTTAGGAACTAAAAATTACTCTTTAACATTTAGGTAATATGTTTTAAAATTATACTTTGGGAGTCAAAAAAATATAAATGTATCTGGACTACATAGATTATTTTTTTTATAAGCCACAGTCCCCGAAGAGGTAAGCAAAAAAGTAATTAACATTAAAGTAATGTGGGGCAATCTGGCTATTGCTACCAACCGACTTAGTGAGTTAAGAATTGAAAAATTTAAATTAGGTACATATATTGATTAAGTAATTTAAATGGAAAAGAAAAAGTTACGCAAGAAAAGGATATCCATATGTACATTCTTATACGGGTGGTTTATTTTTGAATACTATTGCCACTACAGGTATTTGTACCATTAATTCAATAATTAACGCCTATCCTGAATTTGAAGCCGTTTCTTTTGTAAACCATTTATAAATATACCACAGAAAATAAAATTATGTAAATCCGTAAACGATTTTTGTCGAAACTGCGTCATATTGTACGATAATTACAGAAGCAAGAATTTATTGCGACTAAAACCTCCAAACAAACTTAGTTCAAAGTTTACAAATCAAAAGATTTATTTAACAAACGGATTTGTTTACGGGTGCGGCGCCAACGTGACCGTCCGGCATCCATCCGGCAAAAACTATATCGAGACAGACGCATTCCAACTTGACGTTCTTGTTTACAAACGAATACTTGGCATAATACTAATTTAAATGTTTTTTTCTCTGATGATAAACAAGTAGTAAAAACGCATATTTGAATCCACTGAGTAAACAAGTTTTTACAATCTACTATTTAGAAAACTTTCCACGTAAAGTTGTTATGAAGAAACGTAAACAAAAAAGTTGATGGTATCCTAAATTGTCAGTGGATAACACATCTCTGCATACGTATCTTAATTGTCACTTCATTTTTCAGCTCGATACTCAGCAATACAGAATTCATTGACTACATAAAGCACAACTTACAAAATATGGAGTTGTAGTAATTCGGGGAACTCATACAAAAAGGGAGCAGCTTTAATTATTACTGCACACGTGTCGCAATGGTTAAATTGGTCTCCTTGAAGATAGAACATAGAAGGGCTAAGGAACGTCCTTCGTGTCCGTTTTTGTCAATATTGATAAGTCTCCATCGATACAGATATAATTTCTAATGTTAGAGATGTCTTTTAAAAATAAATTTTAATAGTCAACTTTTTTTAAAAGGTGAGTGCATGATACTTTAGGGACTAGTTTTCTAGTCTCTAAAGTATCATGCACTAAAGTTTAAATAGTATCATTCACATTTCTATAACCCACTAACTGTTTCCATAAGATTTTAACTCCTTGGCTGGTTGGTACAATACAAAGGAAAATCCCGTATCAATGTATCACTAATCATTGGCAATAGATTGCACATCGGGAATGACTGGCCTGTTGGTCTAGTGGTTAGTAACACTGACTGCTAAGCCATGGTCGTGGGTTCGATTCCCACCCACGACAAATAACTGTGTGATGAGCACGATCATTTGTTCTGTGTCTGGGTGTACTTTATCTATAATATGAATGAATTTAGAAATATATAAGTATGTTTATCAGCGGTCTGGTTGCCATAGTACAGGATCAGCCTAGTTTAGGACCAGACTGTCTGATGTGTTCTTTATTAATTTATTTATTACAGACTATGGAAGATTTACAGCTATGAAAATCAGAATTAAAGCAGTAAAGAATACAGACAGCCAATGACGAACTCTCACTTATATATAACAGAATAAAGTTAAAGTGTACAAGACAATACAGGGTACGAGTAGTATCAACAGGAAATATATACAATACAAGCACAGATACACTTACACGCTACACACAATGTAATAATATACACACAATACAGACAGGACTCATACACAATAATTACTCGACCCAGTCACCATTACCCCTTAAGAAATTAGGGCTTGAACACCTCCTCGCAATTGAAACACTAACATTAAAAGTATTATTATTATTCAACCGCATGTTTATGTAGCATACCTAGTAAGCTAACTCGTTGGTGAAAGAGACTTTTCAAAGTTCAAAGCAAAAGATTTCCCGTTCTTCGAAAATACAGTGTCACTCTTACTGTCGGTGTTATTGTGAGAACCAAACAGTACCAGAAGAACCGTGCACTTATATTGGTAGATCTAAATGATACTGAAATTTGCCTTTACCACATATTTACTCGTGCCAGCATATTATAGCTCCATCTCTGACCTGACAGACACATAATCTCGTGACATTTAAATACATACTTCAGTTTAGTTCAAACTTAAATAACTTCAGGTCAAATGCAATATTCTGAACGACCTAAATAGGCTGACTAAAATCGACAGACATGAAAGTAATAAAATTGTCTGCACGTGTATATTTTTGTAAGCAGTTTAATGATAGTGATTAATCGCAGAGACAGAATGACAGACCTAAATTAAGTCGTAAAATATTTTTATGCCTAGTTTTACTACTACTGTATTTCAAAGAAGCAGACAATCCTTCTGATCGTAATTGTAAATCGGTATCAGAATTGTTTCTCCTTAATTGAAAGAAGAAATGTGACTACTACAGTACTACCATCTTAACATATTACTTCTAGATGAGTATTTTTTAATGTGGTAACTTCAACTTACAAAAAGGCTGATTAACTACCTCCTTAATTAATAACAAGCATAAATTCAAAATATAAAATGTCCTGACTTAACAAAATTTTAATTGAATGATCATGTGTTTTGTGATTAAACAGGATGGACCCGGAACGTACGCGTACGGGTCGCGTACTTGTAGACTGTCTTCGGGTTACTGCAGTCTTAGCCTCGTTTCTGCACCCAGGACTTGCCTTATTCTTAACTAGCTACTTTCCCACAGAAGGCTGGCTATAAAAGACAGGCAAAACTCCTTGCAATGTTACTCATTGCGCAGACTCCAAATAGAATTGAGCAACGGTCAGGAAGATGATGCTAATGAATAAAAACATAAAATATGATTGGTTAGTTGAAAACTAGGCATCAGAACGAGCAAATTGAAAGAAACAAAGTTTTAATTAGATTAAACCTTCCCTGATCGTTGCCCATGGAAAGATGTCCATCACACTTGCTGCATTGCCGCTGCGTTGAATGGCAATGGCCAACCTTTGCACCAGGAATTAATCGGAGTGGGAGTCACTATTGACTTCTGTGAGTTTTTGATCTAGTTCCTTTATACATTTCTTAGTGACAGCATCCCAGATGCCCATGGTCAACAACGCCACAGGAACGAAATGGCATAACTGCTTCAAAGTTGCATACTTTTTACTTTTTTTTAAAACACTCGCTTTGATATTTTTTTGCATAAAAATCATTTTCGTTTTAAAAAAATAATCATTTTTATTTAGACACTGATAATAATATATGTATGCATGTTTAGATTCAAAAGGCATCAAAGTCACTCGAATCTTAAACAATTAAGGAGGACTAAATCCGGTCAAAATCGAGAGAAAAAGAGTCAAAGAAAGATTTCTTTGAGTTACACCACTTCTCCATACCCCGTCTACTTTCAATTATTAGTAACTCAGACATCACTCTAATGATTTTGTAATATAACATAAGAAATATTTAAACTGCGAGTAAATTAAGATAAAATCCTCATCCAGATGGTAGGAATGCCTGGCATGCAAGCGACTGTAAGTGGGTCGACAGCATCCGGCACAGAGGTATGCTCTCTTATAAAGTGTATATATTTACACTGTGACTCCACGTAGATTTAGTTTTAAGAACTAAGTATGTTATTATGTATAAAGCTTCTTATCTAAGCTTAAGCTTCGGACTGCAATCAACTAATTTAAATTTGGGATGTTTAAAGTTCACGACCTTCAGAGTCTTTCATGTTTGTGTTACTACCAATGCTTTTTAAAATGGTCAGGCTGTTCAATTTTATTTAGAAGATTATATTATGTAGATTTAGACTTGACCAAGTGACCTTTTTCGCTTTGAATATTAGTTATGATTTTTATATAAATCTAATTTTTGTTTTTTAATTGTGGACTGTTACTTTTTTGCTATGACCAATATTGTTTTCATTACTCTTACTTTACTTATTCAGTTTAACTTTATAACATTGTAGAAAAAGTAGTTATTTACTTATATTCTGGCACATTTTGTATTTTATTGATACTTTAATAAATAACATACATACTCGTATTTATGACCTTTATATTGCACTTGTTTCATATCATGATTAGTAAGGAATTTCTTAGTTGCTGCATTTCGGCGTTGGCTACGCTAGCTCGTTATAAACACAGTAATCTGCCGGAGGAGGAGATAAACTTCCTGGCGTTTAGCACTCCCGCTTTTGATCTATGCGCTTCCTGGCATTCTTAAAATGTGAAATAGGTGTGCCACTGTCTGAGTTTTTTTATAGAATTAACCAACGCTATTCAGCTGATCTTTGTGAAAGTCCTTCAAAGAGGATAAAGAAAAAGATGGCGATGATAAGCCAACTGTTTAAAAATTTTTTTTACAGAAGTGCAAATTATTCACAATATTTATAGAAATAAATATTGCAGATAATTGGCATTTTCACTCATCAACTTTTCACACTCACAACACACTCGCCGCTCGACACTTATGAATTTTCAGTAAATTGAAATTCATAAGTATTAATATTCAGTGTATTCTATTGTGGTTTTCTAATCCTATACATATAATCCAAGAAAATCCGTAGATGGCTCTGATTCAACTCAAACCTTAACTTCCTTCCATCACTAAACAATTAGTCTCGTCAAATAAAGTTACTATTTAATGAGGATAAATTTGTTCTTATTAATGTGAAATTGTTTTTTTATTAAAATAAGAAAATATCGCAAAGTGTTGCGTCGCGTCACCTCCCGACGCGTCTCATGGAGGCGCTTCGTTTGGCGTTGCGTCGCATAAGGCATCACTTGGCGCCGTTTCGCTTTGCATCGCATCGCTTGCCATAGCATCGTATCGCGTTGCGTCTCACCCTTTGGCATCGTTACGCTAAGCTTCGCGTCGCCTTGCATCTCATCACTTAGCATCGTTTGTCTTAGCGTCGCGTCGCTTACCATTGCATCACTTGACGTTCGCTCTACGTTACATGACGTAACTTCACATAGCATTACAAAAAATTTAAGTTATGTCACATAGGTGTATATATATACACCCACATGAGTGTGAGTAGAAAAAAACTAATCTAGCCTCATATACGAGTATCTCAATGAATTTTTAAATTGATATTTCCAACTACTATGTTTTCAGTACAAACGACATAATTTATGGAATGTCTTGACATTGAACACGTTAAACATGATATTTTACAAATTCAAGGGCTCTGATTAAAGTGAATTGTTTAGATTGTAATTCCCAAGAGATGACGTCAATGCTTTACATATTCTTGAAAAATACTGTCCAATGTATACACAGACATGATTCTTTTAATAAACTTCACTAATGTAAAAGGAACCTGTGCTGTTAAAAAGTTTTTACGCTTTACATTCAGGATATTGAACCGATACGATCTTTAAACCTTCAAGAAAAGAGTGTAATTCTTCCTAAAAGGCCGACAACGCGTTTGTGACTCCTGAGTTGCAGACGTTCATGGGCGGCGATGGTCACTTTCCATCAGGTGACCCGTCTGCTCGTCTGCCCATTCTAACATAGAAAAAAACTGCCTGGAGTATGTTTAAGGCTCAGAACACTTACACAACATGGTTCTACTGCAACTGCAACTATCGTAGCAGGTTGTGACAAGTGCTACAAGTGCTACGAACAGATACTTTGTAGCTTTCAGTAGCAAATAAATTTGACTAAATCTACAATCATAATAACAAAATAGAATAACAATTTACGACTGTATAGAGGAAGCAGCTATCATAATATCATATGAGCTGTTATAATTTGTAAAACATAATAAATCTGATATAATGGAACATAAAATTAATTGTGCGTTTGTTGTTATTGCAAATTGCCTTCTTTATTTTTCATTTTAAATTTGCCGGTTTGAGTTTCTCTTAAATTTATTATTTCAGAAACTACGATTGCATGCGTTGTTTAACTAGACAAATGTCTATGTCTCAAGATCAGTTATGTATCGTTAGTAGGGTTGGCAGTGTACTTTTTCAATTTTCAAGAATTTCATCTTGATTGAACATATGTCGATTTCTCACGCAGATAACTAAAATGCACTAATTGTTGTAAAGGTTAATACTTTCGCTCAGGTATGAGTGTGACCAGCTTTTCAGGAATCATTTTGCCTCGCACAACCAATACAAATAATTATTTCCAGACTGATACAACCTTCAAGGGAAGATTGAACACCTATCTTAAAAGCTATTAACTCACTTGTGGTTCTTTAGTTGTAGGTGTCCATTGGCAACGGCAGGCCCTTACCAGGTGACCATGCTGAACGTATGCCTCGTTGAAAAATGTCTCCAATCAATTAACCACTATGAAACCGTAGATAATTGGTAATATAAAAATACTCGGTGGTGCAGCTATGCGATATGCGACTGCTGTGCTGAGGTCTAGTATTCGATTCCCGGGTTGGACCAAATGTTAGTATCATCTGCAAAAATTTGTTTCGGAGTTTGGGTGTTTACTATATATAATATGTATGTATTTACAAAAAATGTATATAAGTATTCTATCAGTCAATCTAGCAGTCATAGTACAAGATCTGTATAGTTTGAAACTAGATGACGTTGTATGTCAGATGTCCGAAAATAAATAATATTAAAATAAAAATTTGTACGTAAGTCTAAGATTAGTGATTGATAAGAAATATTGTAATCCTAATTTGCTGCAAAAAGTTTTTTTTTCACTAGCGAATTATATATAGTGCTTTCAACCACAAAAAATACTAATACTGATATGAGAACAGTTACCTAAAGATGTGTATCTATTAAATAAGCCGAGTGGTATTTTAAAATAAGCAATGGTGCCATTGACCTTTATTTATTTTCAGAAGAATCCAACTTCTATCTCACTGAGCCGTGAAATTTTATATAAAACGAATTAAATTACTCTTTTTATAAGATATTTTAGATTATGTTGAAGATATTTTACACTGTCAACGGAATAAATTTATATATTTCCTCGTCTTATACGAAGTGAGATTATTATAATTTCTGCGAAAACTGGCACACCAAAAGTAAATGAAATATGCGAATACCATTGGTTACATCCAGGTAACTATAACATAGGACTTGACTTAGTCGTGTGGTGACGAATTAAGAATACAGAGTGTCACCACCCTTATTCATTCCGTGGGTGTCGTAAGAGCCGACGAAACTATATGCACGACAAAAACACTGCTAAGAGAAGGAAAGCTTGAAACAAACCCTATACCAACCCGTCTGGCCGGCGTGGTATAGTAGGCCTAAACCTCCTTTCTAAGGAGAGATCTATGTCCAGCAGTAGACTTGTAAAGGCTGTTGATGACGACAGAGACATTCAGTCAAATAGTCTTAAAGAACTACTGAACAATTAGAATTCATCATCATATGAGTCTGGAGGTTAATGATCCTTACTGCTGATCTAGGCATTGGATTTCCATCTAGAAGAAATAAATTGTGAAATGAGCACTATCATATGTTTTGGGGTTGGGTAATTTATCTATAATAGTTAGTAAAATATGTTTCTCAGAAGTCTAGTTACGTAGGTTAGTAGTTAATGTCAGCCTGATTTGAAATCAGAGGACCTTGTGTGAGTTGACTTAAAATATTAGAATATTTTCATCATTATCTTACAGCTATAGGATGTCCAATATTAGACAGATGAATTTGTAAATTAATAACTGCTAAGAACGTCGATTAGTAGCAACCTGCAACCACCGCTGACCTTTATATGATTGTCTGTCATGTTTTACGCTGAGTTTTCCGGTCCGTGGTCTCCATTTCAGAACTATTGACCCATCCGCAGTCTGTTATCATTAATTTAATACTATTCGACTTACATAATACTATATCTCTCTTAAATTTGTTTAAAGCAATACATACGTGTGCATTGCAGCATTAATTATATTTTGAATTTTATCACTGTATTATTATTTAAGAATTTTAAATAAAAGTTGACATTTATGCAAAAAAATAATCAAATTAAATTATACAAAAAAATCAAACATCAGCTGAATTTGTATATTATTTCCTTTCAATACCTTATACCTTTTAATCTTATGATGGCCGTCTACTCAGAACATTTCCACCTGAGTACATAACTCGGCCCTCCAATTTCAACATGACCATTAATATTTCATTTGTAGATTTGTTGCGATGACGTGGCGCATACCACAACGCGTTGTCATGGTGGCGCTCTGCCAAATAATGAATACCAACACCTCGTAAATGCGTCGGTCGCAGGTGTAGGGCCAGCTTTATATCGCAAAAGGTTACGTGAGTTTATGAATACTTTTAGGATAGGTAGATAAATATCGATATCAGTATTTACGAAAATGGATTTATTTATCTGTATATTTTATGAATATATTTTTTTTCAATTTTTAAACAAATATGGTGCCTAATTCATACTTAGAATACTAACCATTTTTGTGCAGAAAAAACAAGAAAAAACTGAAGAATGTAAGGTTTAAGTTAAAAATTATGTATTTGAAAACTGTCACATAAAAATATACAGACACAAAAGTCTATATAATGACATTTCAAGTTACACTGATATCTAGAATACAACAAAACATTCAAACGGTAGATTTTCGACCGACCATTCGTCGAACATATCTTGGCTATTCAACATATGGTTACAGAACGCGCAAGCAACACGTTTCTTAGAGATAGATCGGACCACAAAGATTTTGCCCTGTTTTTCTTAGATCTAAGTTTTATACAAACAAAGCATAAAATATATTTACATATGTAAGTCAAATTTTAATGTTTTTACAAACCTCAATATACGTCACGGTCAATCCCAAAACGTATTTTTCTAATCTCAAAAGCGTATATTTAAGAAATGACACTACTGGACAAATTTCATGAGTGAAAATAAAAAATAAATCAACAGAAAATACTTTATAGGTTTTAATTTGTTTCCAAGTTTCAAAATATGCTACATAAAGGACGAAATACATTTGTATAAATAAAAATAATAAAAATACTTTCATACTCAAAAAAATAAACTTCCTGATTTTTCAACGTGATAATTCGGGTAAAAGTATTTATTAAGAAAAAGCTGAGAAAATTAAGGGCGAAAAATCGAGGTAATAGCGTGTTTTCTCGTAAAGTTTGCTCTCTCTCATTTTCTTCGGTTATATATTTTCGGTTATAAACCGTTTTTTTCCAACTGATCGTTTTTTATTTTCAATAACGAACCACGATCCGATTTTTTCCAAAGTATTTTTTTTAAACTAATACCTTTACCCGAGCCTTGAAAAACCAGCCAATTTATTTTTTTCTATCTGAATGTACTCAGTCTGTACTTATTGCGTTCTAAATTATAAATAACCAGTAAACATTCCTTGATTACGTAATATTTAAAAGTTTTTGTTTTGATGCCGAACAGCTAATGTCAGTTTACATAAGGCAGAATAAATAGATGTTCAAAACAAGCAGCGCCTACGTTCACTGTAAATAGCACTGTCTGCCCCGTGGGTGAGTAAGGTGACTAAGAGGTTACGCGAGGTTGGCTAGAGATGTTCTAAGATTCGGCAATTTCTTGTCGCTAAGAGACTGCAATGAATACACATCATACAAGAAAAAAAATTGGCTTCATCTGGTTGTAAAACAGATCACTGTCGGTAGTTTCGTGATATTTTACTTTCAGTAATAACTTTTACTGATTGCTAATTGATGTACTTTATTATTTTTTTAATTTTCTCTTTTCTTCATTAAATAATAGGATTCCAAACACAAGTTGGATGCTATATATCACGTAAGAATAATCTCCATATTACTTTTATATTAACAGAGCCATGTGTGTACCATGTGATGAAATCATATTAAACTAGGGACTACCTAACAACAAATTCTTCATCACGCAAAGAAAGTTGCGAGGTGTGATCACCCCATTTGGCAAAATCGTTTATTCCTCCACAATAGTATCAGGCGTTTTGATCAGAGATCATATTATTTACGCAAGTACGGCGTAGGCAAATAGCCTTGACTCTTCATTG